TAGTGTTTTTCCACTGTTCATCTTCTTACAAATGCAGAAAAAAAAATCAGCTCTCCAACTAATTGGATCATCTCCATGCATTTTTAAGAAAGGATGCAAAATGGTCAAGCTTGCTTTCAGGAGTCTTCAAGGCATTCTTTTAGCTGTTTTACTGAACTTCAATTCCCTGTGCTTGCTCGCTCACTCACTCTCTCTCATTAGCTTTCATTTCTTCCCCTGAAAAACATAACAGCCAGAGTCGAGAGAGAGGATGTGGGACAGACTGTTTTGACAAGTGCAATTGCAAAGGAGATGTTCATTGCAGCCATAAAGGAGCTACTTTGAAAGCTTTTCCTGTGAAATAGTGTGGGAAACAGAGAGAACACAATGTAATCATATAGCTTATAGTAAATTTGTAATGTGTGTGCATAAATATTACTCTATTCTTTTGCTTTGTATAATATGAGCTTGCACAGCTGAGAAATATAGAGATCTGATCATTTGTGTGAACAAATACCCCTTATGTCATGGGATTGGCAAGTGTCGAGGCTGGCCAGGTCTCTTCCATTACCCTAGAGGAGTTGACTCTAGGATGGAGCATCACCTTGTCATCTGTATTGTCTCACTCTCTCTAATACCCTCTCCCCTTCCCCTTCCCACTTGTAGTGGATCTTGTGGTTTGTGCACAATCCAGACCCCGCTTTAAGACTAAAGGACTTATTTTTCCAGCTGCTGGGAGTGTTGGTGGTAGATAGCTCTCTGTTTTCAGCCCCTTATAGGGATTGCTTCAACTAAAAGAGTCCTCTTACCCAAGATTATGCCCCCCCTTCCTATTCAATAACTGGTCAACATAAAACTATAAAGGCCTAGTCCACTCACCACAATTTGGGTCAACTCAGAAGAGTCACCCCAGCTTCAGAACTCCACGTGGGGTTGGCTGAGACTTTGGTTGAGGTTGCATTTTAGCCCAACTTCTCCTTCTGCTCAATTCTGTGATCCTCCCTTCCCTTCATATAATAAATACCCTGCATGCTAATTTCTTTTCAGAGAAAGAATTCTGCTTCCCCAAGAATTCAATCTGGAACCCCACTTTAGATGTTTTAAGAAGAGGGATTCCATACAGAGAATTATGCTACAAAAGTGTTGGAAAGACTGAGGAATAAAAAAGGGGCAGGTGATATTCCCAGAGGTCAGGAAAAAGCCTCTACTGACCAGGTAGGTTCTAAGAGCTCTGTTGATTTAATCTAAAGAAAAGATCACATATGGAACAATTGCTGAAATAAGTGCCAAATTAACTATGTGATTATCCACAGCCATTCTCCAAGACTCAGCCACCTTCTGTAGAAGACAAATAGGCAAATTAAGTGGTGATGTGATAGGAATCATCATTCCCAATTTTTCATGGTGACACCACTATTTTCACTTACTTTAGAAAAGTAATACTGCTTTTGATTGATTATCCTGGTATGGAAGGAAAGTTCCAGAAGTTTTCACTTGGCCATTCCTACTATAATCTCCCTCAGTCTATGAGTCTAGGAGTCAATGTGGGGATTCTGTCAGATTCTGAGTATGTCTACCCCATATGATTCCAGATCTGGGGAAATAATAATAGTCTCAGCCTAAAATTCTATTAGTCACCTAACCTCTAGCCACCATTCTGGTTGGTGGGTCACAGTGGCATTTGAGAACTCCAGGACTAGCATCAACTCTGAGCCTCTATCTGGTCATCCCTGATGTGACTATTTCCCATTGTCCACTCCATAGTCACTCTGATAAATGGCTCCAAGTCCACTGGAAGAAGGCTGAGAAGCAATTTATAGTATATGTTCATGGCAATGTAACAGGAATCCTCCCTAAAGGGATCCAATATCCCCTTTACTCAAGGAACTCTGATTCTGTGACCTGGCTCAGACCTGTGGACAGAGTGAGAGACCATGGTTGTCACTGTAATAATTCAAGTCTCTCTTCACTAGACCTAGATTTTCCCCCTAATTATATACCTCTCATAAAACTTCAGTCAGTTTATGTGGGTACTTTTGTACCTTTCAGAAGCCCACCCTTTCTTTTAAGACTGAAACACTTTGTTCAGAGTATTGGCAGCAACAGTCCTCAGCTAAGTCCCTCTTTGGAACTTGTCTGAGAATAAAGACAAAGCTGTGTTGCCCAAGATCATGCCCCTTTCTGGGAACAGCCTATATCCAAAGACTAGTCAGTGCAGGGGCATAAAAGCCAGGTACCTTTGCTCCAAATAAAAACACTATACAAGTCCATGTCAGCTTCCTATGCCTAATCTTGCTTCCTTCACTTCCCCATGGGTATTGATCCCAAGAGCACTCCCCAGTGAAATTTCATGCTGCAAATCTTGTCTCAGAGTTAAGTCCTGAGGAAGCTGAACTGTGACAATAGGCTGATAATTTATTTCTGTCCTAGGGACACTGAGATCAATAAATCATCCCCAAAGATCCCTACATGAAAAAATTGATTGCCACTCTGGTTCTGCTGCCCATTTTCATAATTGCACTCACTTTTTCTCTAGCGCTTAAATGCTTTCCTTTTGCCTCTACCATTCTGAGATTCCCTTCATCTCTCTCACTATCATTGCTAACCTGAAGAAGACAGCTGTGGCAAAGCTTCTAAAGATCCTCCACACATGCATTTCTCAGTGCCTCAGGAAGAAGGAAATATGTCATATACAACTTTCCAGTGGAAACAGTGGGAGAGAAAGAGGGTGAGTTTGGGGTGGGGGGTGGGAGAACCATACACAATAAATTCACACCAACATTCCTATCTCTTTTGTAGCTCAGGAAGCAATACCCTCAAATACTGGTGCTTTGACATGTTAAGGGTCCTTAGAAGCTGCCTCAGAATCAAGGTCCTTCTAACTTTGTCTTGCCCATGCTGTGCCCCCAATCTCAAGGAGGAACTCTCTGAAATTTCTTTATCTGACCAAGAAAGTTTCCCTTTTGGAAAGAAACACAATTGCCTTTCTTCTCTCCCTGAAATCTCATTATCTATTTCAGAGAAGACAGAAATGCAATGATACCTGGACAGACTTTTTCATAAAGATAATGCCTGCCTCTCAGATTCAAATTTCAAAGAGAATCATTTATAAGTTAATTTCTGTCTATTGTTCTTCCTAATAATTATTTGTTGCCCCTCAAAAGAATTTTCTACGTTCTCTATCTCCCCTTTCCCCTATGGAAAAGGGTATATAAGCTTCCTTACCGATTGAGCTATTGGATAATCATCTTCCTGTGGTTCCCTCATATTACATACATTAAAATTTTGTATGCTTTTCCTCCTATTTAATCTGTCTTTTGCCAGTTGATTTTCGGTGAACTTTCAGAGGGCAAGGGGGAAGTTTTCCCTTGGCCCCTACACTCTCTCAGCCCTTGTATTCCTTGAGGCTTCTTCTGGCATTTTGGCTTACTGCTATAGGCATCTTACTGAATACAGATGCTTCTCAACTTTCATGGGGTTACTGTAACAGAGTAGTTGTCCCTCCTCCCATAGATATGGAAGCATAAAACTGAGAGGGGAGTATATAACAGGGAATGGCCTAAAAAAAATAAACTGCAAAAGTATTTTCTGTCTCTTAGAAATTTCCCCCCCTCTTTTGGAGAACTGAAACCTACATCCCTGCCTCAGGCCAGTGGTTGGGGGGAGCAGGGAGAAGCCCTTTTGTTCTTGCAACCCAAGCTGATGCCAGTCCCCCCACCCGGGTGGGGCTTTTTCTTTGGCTGAGATGGGACAATTAGAATAGTTAACCACAATAGCCGAGAGCTGAGAGGCCCTCCCTTTAAAAGCTCTGTATTTCTGCTTATGTTCAGAAAATTTGGGTTTTGAGATGAGGTCTACCATTTTCCTCCTTTGCCAGCAAATTAATAAAACTTCTCCTTTGTCCTTCTCTTTAAGCCACTTGTTCTTGTTCTTCCGATGCAGCCTCGAGGACAAGTGGCCAAGCTTTCAGTAACAGATTTGGCATCCCTGGTGTGAGCCATTGGCTTCCCAGTAGAATGGCACCCTGAGAATACTGGAAGAGACAGGGAATAGCTCCAAGTCAAGCCATGGGTGGGAGCATCACCTTTTTCAGGCAAAAAAGAGATTCCTAGAACATGCCAGGGCATGATTAGCTCTGAAGACCGCTCCATCCATCTGAACTGATTTGAGAAGAAAGAAACAGATTTGGGAAGTGTCACAATAGCCATGGCCATTTGTAAGTAAATGTAAGTAAAGCCCCCCCCCCCCCAACACACACCAAGACCCTGTTTCCATCCATTTGAGGGGGGGGGGTTAGACCTCCCTATTGGTTTAGAGGTGCCATTTGTGGGTGTAAATGTAGCAGTTTAGTGGGGCAGGGGACCTGGTTTGGATTGAGCTCATTTGTAGTTCCCAGGGAACCAGGGGTGGATTGGGAGATGTTGGTTCTCATGTCTGAGATAATTTGTTTCTCATTTGTCCCCTTTCGATTAGGAGATGCTGATTCTCAATTGAGAATTTGGTTCTCATTTATGGTTCCCATGTGTTCGGCTGTGGCATTTTGTATTGGGGATTCCCTGTATTGTCTGTGTTTGTTTGCAAAGTTTTGTTGCAACATAGGAAAGTTCTATCTAAAAGTCCCTTGGAAAGAATTTTGGCTGAATGGTAACTTATGTGTAAAGAGAATGGTGTTATTGTAAGCCAATGTATGTGCTGGAGCATGAGAAGTGGCTGTTAAAATGCAATCTTAAATTGTACTGTCTTGTAACTGAAAGTATTTTGTCAAAAGTCAGGTAAATGAGACAAGATCCCACATGTATTGGGTTATTGGGTAGAAAATGTTCGATTCTGTTGTTTAATTCCGAAGTTGGACATTTCATGTTTAATGACCTAATGTAATCTTAAAGGCCTGGAATAAAGTTAAATTAATGGTTTAAACAGTTGAATTCCTTTGGCAGAATGGAGAACTGGTGGGCACAGCCCACCACCATATGGTGAGGGGCTGGGGGAGAGAGTGCCTGTGGTACCCCATGGCCAGGTACCTGTGAAACAGGGTGGGGAGGAGGCACAACGACTCCCTGGGAGGGAGTCAGGGGAGTGGCCATGGTGCCCGTGGCCAACTTGGCCAATCTGGCCAATCTTCAGGAAGGTGCTACTGATCTGCCGCCTGCCAGAAGCCGCAGCCAGCAGGGAAACAGTCCCTTCCCCTGTCTGCACAGATCCTGGTCCCAGAAAACTGTGTCTTATGCCCGGCAGAATTCCTATCTGCCTTTGGTGTTTGCCTAGAACAGGAGCAGGGTACTTAAGGAAATTTCTTCTTATTTACATGCTGCTGTTGCTGTGTGGGCCATCTGTGGCCAATTTGACAAAGGCAAGATCAGAGGACCAGGGATCCCCCATGCTTTCTGCACTTACCCTGGTCTGTATGAATGATAAATGCATGATCATGGGAGAGCTGAGAGCTGCAACCCATTGTTGTGTGGGAGAAGGGTGGACAGCCTGAGCTCCAGCCTACTGAGTGCCCGCTGCTGCTGTGAGGGATGGAGGAGAGCGGGACTAAAATTCTTCAGCCACATGCCCACTAAATTGTAACTCTGCCCACTAAATTGTAACTCAGAGTAGGAATGATCTCAACTTCTAGGACCAGGCAGAAAACTCAATTTGGCCAGGGGACATTCTGTAAACAGAAAGGGACAAATTATGTACAGTTAGTATGCTTTTTGTAGAAAGAAAGGACATTAGAGAGAAACTTGCCCAAAAGTTATAAAGGCCTTCAGATAGTAGGAATCACCCAGGAGAGAAAAATTTTTTTAAGTCTAGAACTCAGATGATGAAGAAGGAGGCCAGAGCCCCCTGCCTCCAAATATCCCCACAGGAGCCCTGGGAAAAATTGACAGTGGGGATTCAATTGGTGCCCACCTGCATGGGCAGAAGAAGTCCAGTGGGGGACCCTTTTCCCTCAGATGCAGCCCTGTCCTTGGCACCAGCTACACCCAGCACTCAGTGACCCAGGCAGACAGCAGCGGGGAAAGGGGCCAAACAACAGTGAGGCAGCTATAGGCAAGCTAATGGGAACTTGAATGGTATTCAGTAACATTTAAATGAGAGGATCCTGGGACTAGAATGCCTTTACAGTGCTCTTAGGCTGTGTTAGGAGTTTTAAAAATGGTTCTTCTGTTTGATGAAAGCTTAGCAGTGGATTTGTGAATGAACCTGTAATCGGACTGATTTGTAAACTTGTATTAACTTATCTGGGGTTCCTAGGAATGGTGTCTGGATCCCAGACTTCAGACTGATGGTAAAACCCTTATATGAGGCCCTTAAGGGAACAGCTTATGACCACCCCACTCTGGATTTGTCTGACTTGTAAATAATATGAAAAACAAGGAATGAGCCTTAGAGTCTTAGTACAGATGCTGAGAGGTATCCCAAGGCCATGGACATACTTCTTGAAGCCACTGAACAATATTGCAAGAAGATGGCCTCCTTGATAAATTGTTATTAAAGACTGTGTCTATTTGCACACTTTTGCCTTTACAACATGACTGTTTAAAGGTTTCGGAGACTGTATTTTAACAGGGTGGATCTATCAGATCAGCCAATGCCAGAACAAGATTGGGAACTTTTCACTGGTGGAACAGCTTTATAGACAACGAAAGACTGAATATGTGGTGATCACGACATTGGCACTGCCACCTGGGACTTCATCCCAGAAAGCTGAGTTGCGGTTATCAAGAGGAAAAATGTAAACATCTAAATATGCTTTTATGATTATACATGTTCATAATGCCATTTGAAAGAAAAGGTATCTCCTGACAGCAGGAGATAAGAATATTCAGTATGCCACAGAAGTAATGGCCTTGATAAAAAGCCATGGCTGAGCCCAAGCAGATGGCCAGCATTGTAAAAAGAAGTCAGACCACTAGCAGAGCTGCTAAGATGGCCACTAGAGGCGATCTGTTCTCTGGGCCTTGATACCCCAGCTAGATTTAGATCCATTTTAAAGCTAAAGACTGGGACTCTGCCATTTGGGATGGCAGAACTAAGAATCTTTGGTCCAGCCTCTTTGAAGACACCTACACACATTAGGGGTGTGATGCCTTCATGGATTTGGGGAATCTCACTTGGGAAGATCCTGGGTGCAATGACTTGTTTATATGCTAAATGTGGTCCAAAGACAAAAAGGCAACCCACTGCACAGGAAGCCCAACATGTAGGGGCCCAAACCCTTTTGATGATTGACAGTTTTACTTGGTATTAGCAGATATTGTTTCAGGCTCAGAATGGGGAGAGCATCTAAAGCTCTAAGATGGGCTCCTACCAGGAGCTGCTGGCCCGGGACAGAGCCTTTGCCAAGTTCCTATGCATGTATGCCAGCATGGAGCAGGAACAAGCCTCAGGGGATAGGAGGGTGATGGACATCAGCAGTCCAGGGAAAGAGGCCAAGCAGGTAGAAAATGGCATGCTGGTGATGGACACTGTGCTCAGGTAGCAGCAGAGACAGGTCAACAGCTTCTTGTCCTACAGCGAGGATGTCAACAAGCAACACAGCAGCATGGCTGAGATACAGAAATCTGAGATCAAGAAGGAAGGGACCTAGAAACCAACAGAGGCAGAGGGGGCTCAGACAGCCCCATTGTTAACAGGACCCAGGAACCCAGGGAGCCCTGCGAATTTCACAAGGTAACTACTCAATGGCGTTGTTGCTTCCTCCAGTCTGCACCTGGTTCTACTGCACAATGTCCTGTGATCACTCAGAACTCGAGCAGTCTCAGTGGGAACCTGGTGTGCCTTTTCTACACAGTGGACTCAAGGATTCCACAGGTCGTCAAGATGTTCATAGGCTCCCCTCCTCCATGGACACGTTTTTGAATTAGAGACAACCCAGCAAGTAAGCAAAGTCTTACATCTAGAATAAAAATTACATACATTCTAAAATCTATACAGAAAAGTAGAATAGGGTATTGCTCTTTGTCCCCTTCCAAATAAGGATATCCCTGAGAAGCAGGCTTAAGTTGAGCCTCTAAGAAATAGTTTATGAGTGACCTTTCTTAGCACCCTGAGGTATGATAATATAACCATGGATTAAAAAAAGCAGAGTAAAGCAATATGCCAAATGAGTGGGTGGGTCAGGTACTAACCTTTATGCATGAGTTTGCCTCTTTCAGGTCTCCACCCCAGTTGGAAACAAAGAAGTGCAAGAGACCCTATGGAATGTCTGTAACAGCTAATACATTGTTGAAATTGTCAGAAATGAAATCTTGGGTCCATCATACCAGAGTAAAGAGGTGTCCCATGGAGGAAGAGAACCAAGCCCCCACTGTAGAGGCCAGCCTTTAGGTAATCTAAGGTAACCATTTAAGAAAAAAAAAAAAAATGAAAATGTTGATTTTTTTTTTTTTTTTTGCTAACCTTTCTTTGATTATTTGTTCTGTCTGTTGGATGGAGAGACAACTCCTTAGAGTGAAGATTTCCTCAGGCTATTGCCTTTTCTGTTGATCTGTATTTGTATTTGTCATGCTAAACCTTGTTCAGTGCTGTATGTGATTTCTGATTTTGCAGAAGCTGGTCTTTCAGATCACCTACAGCAGACGTCCTCAAACTACGGCCAGCAGGCCACACGCCGGTGTTTTTGCCCATTTGTTTTTTTACTTCAAAATAAGATATGTGCAGTGTGCATAGGAATTTATTCATAGTTTTTTTAAAACTATAGTCCAGCCCTCCAACAGTCTGAGGGACAATGAACTGGCCCCTTGCTTAAAAAGTTTGCGGACCCCTGACCTACAGGGTCTAACTACTAGCTCTGCACTCAGAGGTCACATGTTTCTTTCTAGCCCAGTCCTGTATTAAACATTGTCTACAAGGTAACAGTCCATTTTGTCTTGCCAATCCTCACTGTTACAATTATTGCTTATGATTTTTTCTTCTGTTGTTGTAAATATACTGTCGAAGTTTTTCAATGACATACATAAGTATAAACCTTCCATCTAAAACATCACCCCCATTTCAGCAGGAAACAGCTTGATGACTACGTTGCCCCTCCTCCCATAGATATGGAAGGGCAAAATTGAGAGTGGGGATTATATAATACGGAATGACCTGGGAAAAAATGGCAAAAATATTTTCTGTCTCTTTGAAACTTCCCCCATTCCTTTGGAGAACTGAAACCTGCATCTCTGCCTCAGGCTAGTGGTTGGGAGTAACAGGAAGAAGGGGGTTTGTTCTTGCATCCCAGGCTGGTGCCAGCCCCCCCAGGTGGGTCCAGGTGGAGCTTTATATTTGGCAGAGATTGGACAATTAGAATAGCTAACTACAATAGCCTAGGGCTAAGGGGCTCTCCCTTTAAAAGCTCTGTATTTCTGTTTATATTCAGGAAATTTGGATTCTGAGATGAGAAGGTCTACCATTTTTCCTCCTTTGCTGGCAAAATAATAAAACTTCTCTTTCCTTCTCCTCAAACCACTTGTTCTTCTGATGTGGCCTCGAGGACAAGTGGCTGAGCTTTCAGGAGCATTACCTCCCAACAAACCCATCATAAGTTGAAAATATCATAAGTCAACTCACAATAATTTCAACTTACAATGGATTTATCTAGACATACCACATGTAAGTAGAAAACCAGAGTGTCCTGAATACATACTGTTTTTGCACCATCATAAAGTCAAAAAATCCTAAGTCCAAGTGAGATAAGGAACCAGCAATCCCTGCCCAACAAGCAATTATAAGACCCGAACTAAAGTCTCTGATAAAACAGGAGGTGGTGGAAAAGCTGGCCAAAACCAGTTAGAACCAAGATGGCCATGAAAAATGACCTCAGGTTAACCACACTGCTCATTATATCCTGTTTTAAATATATTAGCATGCTAAAAGAAACTCCCACCAGTGCCATGACAGTTTACAAATGCATTGCAAGGTAGCTTCCTTCAGTGAAGATAGTACAGTTTTCAAGCAAAAGAAGAGCTACATCTGTCCTGAGAGAAGTCCCAGGTATTTTATTCCTCTCAGGTCTGTGTTCACAAACTGATGGTTCTCTTTCTGAATGCCAAGTATGGGTCTCATTTCTCTTTACACTGCCCAACACATGCTCATGTATACAGAGTACATGTTGTTCTTTCATTACTTCATGGGATTTCTCAAGTTTGTCATTAAGTAACATTCTTTACATTCTCCTATTTTTTATCTAGATTTACTCAAGATGAAAAGTATCCCAGAGATGATCCTGGCTTCTATAGAGCAGGGGCTCCTCCTGCCATAAGGCAGCTAAAGTTGAGTGATAAGAGCACAGGGACAGATGTGCCAGGTCACTCACTGCTTTATTTATCCTTATAAAAACGGTTTAATTATGGGCACACATACCTCACTTTAAGTCCTTTTATATGTACCATCTATAAAAAAGAAAAAGTCAAGTGTTCTCTTCTATGACTTACATTGAAATATAAGTAGAGCAGATATACATTGGGGGTGAATAAAAAC